TCTACTCTCCATTTATTTTAGGGAAGAGAGAAGAGTTCTGTATCAGTACTAAAGGATATCCCCAGGTAACAAAGAAATGGTGTTAATTTGAATCCTATTTCACATTGGACATAAAGAAACATTACTTCTTGGTTACTTAACTGTCACTCCTTCACCAAAGAGCACAATCATAGAAGGGTATACCTAAGCAAGAAACACACATACACCTGAACTTTAATCCTAGTCCTGCAACTAGTTTACCGAAGTTTGATACAGTTACCTTCTCTTTATAGGCAGAAGAGTCAGAACAAATGATTTTTGAAATTCATCCCAATTCTATTCTGTTGAGTTCTAAATTGACACCACTGACCAGGTAACAGACACAGTTCAGTGATATCTTCTCCATTCTGTACACAGGGAAACAGAACCTCATTAAACAAATGACTGGTCCCTGAGATGCCCAACGCATCAACTAGTTTTTATATGAAAGGCCTAGGCTAATTAGATCTGCAATGATTTAAATCAATCACTTTAGATTAGAAAGGAGTATTATTTATTTTCCTAAGAACTGGCAATCTACACATGTTAAACCCACAGCAAACAGCATATACAGTAATTTACTAATATGGCCTACAGCAGATATCAAATTACTATTTAATTTTGACTTTACATTTAAACGGGTTTAAAACCCATTCTGAGTTAATTTTTGTACAGAGTACAAGGTATAGATTTTGCTTCATGGTTTTACATATGGATGTCTAATTGTCCCACCACCATTTATCGAAAAGACCATTATCCTTTGTTCATGAAATATCTTTGCACCTTTGCAAGTATGAGTCAATTTCTAGACTCCCTATTTGCTCCATTGATCTACAAGTCTAGCTTTTCTCCAATACCACACTGTCTTTACAACCGCAGGTTTCCAGATCTTGAAATCAGGTAGTGCAGATCTTCCAACTTTGTCCTTCTTTTTAAAATCTGCCTATTCTAGCTCATTTGCCTTTCCATATAAATTTTAGAAACTGCTTGCCAATTTCTATATTTAAAAAAAAATTCTGCTGGGATTTTGCTGTAATTGTTCTAAGTCTATACATCAGTTTGGAGAGAACTCCTATCTCAGCAATACTGAATCACTGATATACCAATCACTGAACATGGTATATCTCTGCATTTATTTAGGTCTTCTTTGATTTCATCATTGTTTTATAGGTTTTGCTTTAGCTACAGATCTTGCACATTTTGTAAGACTTACACCCGAATTTTTCATGTTTTGGTGCTAATGTAGACGGTTAAGTTTTTAAAATTTCAATTTGACTGCTTTTGCTACCACATAAAATGATTCATTTTTGAATACTGACCTTATATCCTGCAACCTTGTTAAATTCACTAGTTCTAGTTGGTTTTTTTTGGGTAGGTTCTTCAGGATTTTTCTATGTAGTTCATCTTGTTGTCTGTGAATGAATCATCTTATTTTTTCAAATTTGTATGCCCTTTATTCTTTTCTCTTGCCTTATTGCACCAAGTAGGATTTCCAGAATGATACTGAATAGGAGTGGTAAGAATAAACATCCTTGCTTTGTTCTCAATCTTAGGGGACAATGCTTGATTTTTCACATTAACTATGATCTTATTGTAGGATTTTTTTTTTTTTAAACTTTATCAGGTTGAGAAAGTTCCTCTATTTTTACTTTGCTGGAGTTTTTATCATAAAGGGAGGCTGAATTCTGTCAGCTATTTTTTGTTTAAATGAAAGAAACGATCATACAATGTTTCTTCTTTAATCTGTTGATATGGTCAATTACACAGACTGACTAAAAAAAAGTTGTTTGTTTATTTATTTATTTACTTATGAAAGAAAAAATAAGAGCACATGCGAGCAGGGGTGGGGGAAGGAGAGAGAGAAAGAATCCCAAGCAGGCTCCAAGTCAGTACAGAGCCCAACATGAGGCTCCATCCCACTAACCTGGCAACATGACCTGAGCCGAAGTCAAGAGTCTGATGTTCAACTGAGTCACCCAGGCATCCCTAAGGTTCTATTTTTAAGTAATCTCTAAACCCAATGTGGGACTTGAACTCGAAACCCTGAGATCAAGAGTTGCATGCTCTACCAATTGTGCCAGGCATGCGACCCTATAATCAACTGATTTTTTTTAAATTTTTAAATTTTTTTTTAATGTTTATTTCTGAGAGAGAGAGACGCTTAACCGACTGAGCCACCCAGGCGCCCCTATAATCTACTGATTTTTGAAAGTTAAACCATCACATACCCCTGGGATAAACCCACTTGGTCATGATGATCCTTTTTATATATCATTGGACTTGATTTAACATTTTGTTGTGAATTTCTACATCTATGTTCTTGATGGATAGTGGCCTAAAGTTTTCTTACTATGTCTTTTTCTGGTTTATTATCAGAGTAATGCTGGCCTCAACAAGAACTTAGAAGCTTTCGGGGCGCCTGGGTGGCTTAGTCGGTTGAGAGTCCGACTTTTGCTTAGGTCATGATCTTGTGGTTCGTGGGTTCGAGCCCCACGTCGGGCTCTGTGCTGACTGCCAGCTCAGAGCCTGGAGCCTGTTTCAGTCTGTGACTCCCTCTCTTTCTGACCCTCCCCTGCTCACGCTGTCTCTCTCTCTCTCTCTCTCTCCTAGAAATAAATAAAACATTAAAAAAAAAAAAAAAGAACTTAGAAGCTTTCTATGTTCTGGAAAAGTTTCACAAAATTGGTATTATTTCTTCTTTAAATTTTTGGTAGATTTCATCAGTGAAACCATTTGGGCCTGGAGTTTTCTACACAGTGGAAGGTTTTTAACTGGAAAAACAATTTAATGTGAGACTATTCAGATTATCTGTTTTCTCTGGAGTACAGTTTGGCAGACTAAATCTTTCATAAAATTTGGCCATTTCACCTAAGTTATCAAATTTATGCACAAAGAGTTATTAGCAGTATTCCCCTATCATTCTTTTAATGGCTGTGGTCTGTTATAACATACACCCTTTCATTCCTGGTACTTATAATTTGTGTTTTCTCTTTTTCCCCCAGTCTATCCAGTTCCATTGAATTTTCTTCAGTAAAATATTGGGGGTGGGTGAAGTGGGTGAAGGTGGTCAAAAGGTACAAACCTCCAATTATAAGATAAATACGTACTGGGATTGCAATGTACAAGGACTATAATAACAATATTGTATTGCATATTTGAAAGTTGTTAAGACAGATCTTAAAGGTTCTCATCACAAAAAAATTTTTATAACTGTGTGTGATGGATGTTAGTAATGATTGTAGTAATCATTCTGCAATATACACATATATCAAATTGTTATGTTGTACATTTAAAACTAACACAGTGTTAAGAGTCAATTATATCTCAAAAAAAGTCAGTTTTTGGTTTCATTGATTCTATTGTTTTCCTGTTCTCGTTTTCAATGATGTATATTCTTTACCATTTCCTTCTGTTTAATTTAGCTTAATTTGCTTCTTTTTCTAGTTTCTTAAGGTGAAAAGGTTTGAACATTGATTAAAGACCTTTCTTCCTTTCTAGTATTAGCATTTTATGCTACAAATTTCCCTCTAAGCCCTGTTTTACCTGCACCCCGTTAAGTTTTGATAATGCTATTTTTATTTTATTTTCAAGTATTTTCTAATTTTTCATGTATCATTTCACTTATATTCAAACTTTTGTGATGACCTTTGAACTGTAAGCAAAAAGTCTAGGCCCAGGATTTACCTTCTGCTTGTACTCTCAACTGACTTGGAGAAATTAAGTTTCAGAAAATATATGCAAGGGCAAACAATTGGCTTAACACTGTCCTGAGTATGTTTTTTATCCTCATTCAGTTAAGTTTATCCCACCAACCCATAATGCATCATCTAACTGTAGTGGTCTAAAAACGAGCAGAAGTAGAATGTAATTTAAATCAGAATTAAGGATATAAATGTTTTCTTTTGGCTGGTACCTTGTTCATGTTTTAAATCCTCCGTGGGAAATTTTTATAACTTAAGAGCAGAAAACAATAATATATTGGGGGAAAAAAGTTTCTAACTATAGTACCACTTGAGAGGAGATGTAAAAAACAGTAACATTCACTTGCAGGATACAATAGCTATTCCTTAAATGTACAATAAAATGTCTCTCAGGGGCGCCTGGGTGGCTTAGTCGGTTGAGCGTCCGACTTTTGCTTGGATCATGATCTCACGGTTCGTGGGTTCGAGCCCCGCGTCGGGCTCTGTGCTGACTGCCAGCTCAGAGCCTGGAGCCTGTTTCAGTCTGTGACTCCCTCTCTCTCTGACCCTCCCCTGCTCACGCTGTCTCTCTCTCTCTCCTAGAAATAAAAACATTAAAAAAAAAATGTCTCTCAGAAGCACCAAACTTTTACTTTGCTTTTTTATCTTTTTAAAATTTATTTATTTTGAAAGACACAGAGAGAAAGCACAAGTTGGGGAGCGGCAGAGAGAGTGAGGGAGAAAAAGAATCCCAAGCAGCCTCCACATTGTCACTGCAGATCCCGATGTGGGGGCTTGGACTCAGGAACCATGAGATCATGACCTGAGCTGAAGATGGATGCTTAACCAACTGAGCCACCCAGGTGCCTCAGAAGTACCAAACTTTTGAAGTATACTTCCTGATCCACGGTTTATAATTATAAGGATATGAACACAGATTGAACACAAAAACAATAACCGAACAAAACCAAGTCTGTACAATCAATGTTCTTATTGGGGTGCTGAGTGGCTCAGTTAGTTAAGCATCTGACTCTTGGTTTCATGAGTTCAAGCCCCTCGTTGGGCTCTGTGCTGCCAGTGTAGAGCAGGCTTGGGATTCCCTCTCCTTCCCTCTACCCCTCCCTCTCTTTCTCTGTCAAAATAATTAAACTTAAAACAAAAAAGTTTATTAAAAAAATGAATATTATTATTGTTTGGTCAGTATATGAGTAAAAACTATGAGAGAAAGATACTGAAGGGTGAATGTGGAAAGAAATCGAAATCCTCCTCCTCCTCCTCCTCTTCTACTTTTTCTTTTAGTAGACTTCATGCCCAACACGGGCCATGGGGCTTGAACTTACGACCCTGAGATCAAGAGTTGCGTACTTTACCAACTGAGCCAGCCAGCACCCCTGGAAAGAAACCTTGAATGTATTTACTTTTCACAAATCCAAAGACACTTCTTTATTACCTGGGAGTCTGAGATCGGAAACAGCTAATGTATAAACATATTTTAGACACATCTCCCATAGTAAATATATGTGGAAACGTTAACTTTAGCATGCAAAAATTCAACTAGGTGAAGTAGAAGACAAACATCTGCAGTTATAGGAGAACAGTTCAGAGTTATAAAGAAAAACAAACAAAACAGCAGCTCAAATTCTTGTCTCTGTAATAATACTCTTTGTTGACCACAGATCTTGTTCTTTAATTTCCCTACAATTCCAATAAATGTTTCTACATATATGCTAAATTTCATCCCAAATGTTGGGCCTCATACCCTTATTAACAACACACAGAATGGTACTTGATAAGAACCATTATATGACTTATTTACTTATTATTTAACAGATATTTATCATTTATTATTATATCCTCATCGATTAGTGGAAACAGACTCTACCTCAAAGACAAAAAAACAATTGGTGAACAAAAGTTATGAAAAGACAAAACAGAAAAAGTGAAGTGAAGATCACTATTATGAGGATTTCAGGCTTGTAAAACAACCCTTATAACTTACCAATAACTCCAAGACTGGTTAGCCGAAGATATTCAAAGGGACGCGTTTTGCTGACAGTGTGCAAAAAGGGATACAAAAAAAGTGGGATGTGTGCTGCAAGAAATGCTGACCTGAAAGAAAAAGATAATCACCTTCAGAGCCCAGACTTCATTTCTAAGGATGGTGAACATTCAATTTCCAAGCAGTTCATTCTGTTAGCCTATAACATTGCCTAACCAAGGAACCTCTAGAAAAGGGCTACTGGTCATTAGTCTAGACCAATGGTTCTCAGTTGGGGTAATTTTGTCCACCAGGGCACATGTGGCAATGTCTGGAGATATTTTTGGTGGTCACAATGAAGGAGGTGCTACCGGCATCCAGTGGGCAGAGGCCAGGGATGCTGCTAAACATCCAACAGTGCACAGAACAGCCCCCTTTCACTCCCCCTCCTCCCACCATAAAACCTAGCTCAAAATGGCAATGTCAAGGTTAAAAAAAAACCTACTCTAGGTCAACGGTTAAGAGGATACACCATTTTCCTTGTAATCAGTATCAAGTACCTGAAAAACTGATAAAATATCCAACTGCAGATTTTAAAAAGTAGATCATAAAATGCTGTTAAGTGCCCGAGAGATTCTCCTAGATGGCTTCCCTACTTATTCACAGGTACAGCCACACAAAACCTTATAAACTAAGCCAGGAAAACAAAGCAGCCATTATCAGGTTTATCTGCTATGTTTAAATGCACCCTTGTTCTTTTGTTAGAGCATTTCAGATACACTAAGTACTCTAAAAACATTTTAATCTGAAGCCAATATGTCAGGCAACTAATACAGAACCATTCCATTACTTTATAGTACTAATAGTTATACCTGGTAGGAGAGCAAACCTCTAAATTTTTAACACCGTACTCTTGCATTTTTCTGAAGTGTTTAAAAATAATTTTCATAGCAACTTCTCTAAGTTCTAAAATGTCAGTGTCAACCCAATACTCAGATTTTATAAGAAAACTTGAGAAAGAGAGGAAAGACTTTAATGATTATTAAGTGCCCCAGAGCCATAAAAGTCACAAAGCAGATACCTGAACAGGATTTCCCTTTTCCTGTCAGATGTAGCAGGCCACCTTGCATGCCAGTTCTAATCTTTTACAAGGCTGCCTAAAGCTAAATCTAGGTTCAGTGGGAAAAAAATGCTAGGTTCAGATATTTACTGAACTCCTACTACATGCCATGCACGGTGCCTCATTCATGGCACAGTGATGCCTACTATGGATTCAGGACGGAGAAGTATCTACATACCTGACCCTTCTTGAGATGTGAACGCCACTCCTTTATCTATTTTTTTGTTTGAGAGCAAGCGAGAGAGGAACCGTTAAGTGCACACATAAGTGGGGGTGAGGGGCAGTGGGAAAGAGATTCTTAAGCAGGCTCCACACTCAGCACGGAACCTGATGTGGGGCTGGATCTCACAACCTTGGCATCATGACCTTAGCCGAAATCAAGAACCAGATACTCAACCGACTGAGCCACCTAGGCACTGTTATTTTTATTTATTTATTTTTAAATAAACTTTACCCCCAATGTGGGGCTTGAACTTATGACGCTGAGATCAAGAGCCAAATGCTCTACCAGGCACTCTTTGAACGCCATTCCTTTAAAGTTCAGTGTTGTAAATGGGTAAAAAGTATATGAGACAATGGATTATTATTCAGCCTTAAAAAAGAAGAAAATTCTGACATTCTACAATATAGACATCATGCTACATGAAATAAACCAATTACATAAAGACTAATCCTGAATGATCCCATTTAAATGAGGTACTCAGAGTAGTCAAAATCATAGAGACAGAAAGAATGATGCTTACCAGGGGCTATGGGAATGGGGAGTTATGGTTTAATGGGTAAAGTTTCAGTTTTACAAGATGAAAAGAATTATGGAGACGGATGGTGGTGGTTGCAAATTATAAAGGTATTTAATACTACTGTACTCTATGCTTCAAAATGGCTGAAATGGTAAGTTTATGTTACGTATATTTTACTCCAATTTTATTTTTCTTAAAATTTTTTTTAATGTTTTATTTATTTCTGAGAGACAGAGAGAGACAGCGTGAGTGGGGAGGGTCAGAGAGAGAGGGAGATACAGAATCTGAAACCGGCTCCAGGCTCTGAGCTGGCAGTCAGCACAGAGCCCGATGCGGGGCTCGAACCCACGAACTGTGAGATCATGACCTGAGCCGAAGTCGGACGCTCAACCGACTGAGCCACCCAGGCGCCCCTTTACTCCAATTTTAAAAAGGCAAAAAAAATTTATGGAAGAACATGTTAAACAATACTATACTGTTACTACATGAAAACCTGGTGAATCAGAGACCAGAAATTCTTCAGGAAAAGCAAATGAGAATCCTGAAGATCCATATCCACACACACACACCCGACTGCATGCCCCTCCTCTCATCATTCAGAAAAAGACCATATTCGATACAACCTCCATCAACAGACTCATCAAAGCACTTACCTGGTTTCTGGGTGTGATGCCACACATTGCAGTAATGCCAGAGCATTGCAAACTCTGTTAGACTGGTGTGCTGTCAAGGTGGGCGGGTTGATAGATGGATAAATATTTACAATTTCCTAAAAAATGGAAACCAGCAGCAGATGAATAGAGAACGTATTACAGAATAAATTTCCATGTTATTAAAGCAAAACCCCTAAAAATTCCCACAACTTTTAATTTCACATATTCTGTAAGAACTGAACCACCAAAGTGGGAGCAGAAATAAACAAACAATGCTATCTTTTCATCCCAAATATGCCTGACATTTCTCCACAGGTCTCTGGGAAGATTTGACTCGAGGCAACTGTGGTCACCAACAATTCCTCTTTACATCCAGCATCTGTTGAGGCCTTCACTTGACAGGAACTTATATTTATATTCCTCCTTTTGTCAATACCCTGCTTTAAGTTACAGTGATGAGATAACTGGCCAGATAGCAAGTGTCAGTAAATCAACCACAGAGACTCATAAAGAAGGCTGCATTTGGTCAGGTAGCAACTGCCAAAAGGGAGAGATAAGAACGTGGGTATACACACAGAGATATGTTCAAACAACAGTGACTATATGTACTGTCAAAAGGTGACAATGCTGTATGTAACTCCTGGTTTTTTAAATTGTAAAACTTTTATAGGAAAAGTTCCTAAAAAATTAATTTTGGGGATTAAGAATACACTTATTGTGGGGTGCCTGGGTGGCTCAATTGGTTGAATGTCTGACTTAGGCTCAAGTCATGATATCTCATGGTTTGAGAGTTTGAGTTCCATGTTGGGCTCTGTGCTGACAGACAGCTCAGAGCCTGGAGCCTGCTTGGGATTCTGTGTCTCCCTCCCTCTCTGCCCCTCTCCTGCTTGCACTCTCTCAAAAATGAATAAACATTAAAAAAAAAAAAAAGAATACACTTATTGTGATAAGCAATGAGTAATGTATAGAATTACTGACTCATTGAACTATAATTTTGTATACCTGAAACTAATATAACACCGTATGCATGTTAATTATACATTAAAAAAAGGAAAGATTGGTTTCTTGGTTATATGATATAAGAATTGAATGCAAATTTACTTAACAGGCTTGAAAAATTAACCTAATTATTAGGAATTTTGGACAATACTTTAAAGGATGATTATTCCATTATCTTAGAAGATTATGCAATATCAATTTATTCCCCACCAATGACCATTATAGTCAGAACCAAATTTGTTACTCTTTAACGTAGAAGTGTACCTACCTCTAATCCTATAGCTACCACATCTTTATCTTAACATTTCCTTTTGTCAGAATATACCCTGCAGCTCTTATACTTTAGTTTCTACCTTTTTTCTTCTGTCATGTAGAACTGTCTCGTAGTATTCCTAAAGCTGTGTTTTTCAAAGTGTAGTTCGCAGACTACCTGCATCAGAATCACCTGAGAGCAGGGCAGGTGCTTTCTAAAAAAGATTTTTAATCTCAGACCAAATAAATCTTTTGGGTAAGACCCTAACAAGCACTTTTCTAAAAACAGATTCTTACAAATGCTAATATTTAAAGAACTATTCTACTAAAGTCTTCAAAATCATTTGAGCAGACAGAGAGAAGTGTGATGAATAGGACCAACATACAACTCACAAGTATGTACCCACCTGTAAAAGTGCTGCAATAGTACCAAATGAATGCCACAGCATGGGTGCAAGGTCAGGAACAGATTCTCGCTTCTTACTCAGCTCCAGCAAAGCATTTTCCCTTGTCTCAGGACTGGACAGCTCATTGATCCACTGATAGATTTTTTCTCTGTCTACTTGAGCCAGTGCAGTAGGCACAGGCTTCAAGTGAAAAAAGAAAGTAAATATGTTTCGTTAAAGTCAAACCAAGTTTTACTCTGCTTTAAAGGGAATGTATTTTTTTTTAAATAATTTTTTAAAAATGTTTTATTTCTGAGAGACAGAGAGAGACAGCATGAACAGGGGAGGGTCAGAGAGAGAGGGAGATACAGAATCTGAAACAGGCTCCAGGCTCTGGGCTAGATGTCAGCACAGAGCCCGATGCAGGGCTTGAGCCCACGAACCGTGAGATCATGA